AAAAAAAAAAAAACCAACGAATTACATGTACTAGAGTGAAATGGAGAAATCTTCCTTCTGGCTAAAAAAAAAAAAAAAAAACCACAACAACATAAAAAAAATTCTAACAAGATTTCAATTTTGGGCCTGGTAAAAAAAAAAAAAAAAAAAAACCACAACAACAACAAATTACATATTCCCCCATTTCAATCATTGGTACATTGATTTCACATAAATCACCCTACACCATAAAAAAGTTGTGGCGATCCCAGTTTTGCCACTTCGCTGAGTATATCGGGGATCAAGCTGCCCAATCAGCTCGCGGGGGTCCAGGGGGTAGCACCCCTTGGCGAGTCCTAGGGCAACGCCCTGGCGGGGTTGAGGAGCAACACCCCCGAAGCAAAAATGCAAAATACATTAAAAGTTACTTGTCCGCTCGAGCTGCTGTTTATGCGCTCAAGCGGAGAATGTTTGGTTTCAGAAGTTTAACCTGTCTGTAAAAGTACTGGAAAAGTGTATTTGACACTCGAGCAGGGCTTTCCATGCTCAAGCGGACCATGTTATATCAGTTCGTGAATCTGATATTTCAAATCAGTTTTGTATATCTCTCTCTCTCTCTAAAACCGCTTTCCTCTCCCTTCTTTCTACATTTCCCTACGCCATATTGGATCAAAACTTGATTTCTCAAGATCCATTAGAGTTCTGCCATAAGTCCTTCATCAAAGTTGGTTAACTTCTCAAGGGCTTCATTATGTGCGGTGAAGATCGAGTTTCGACACCGTTGATTTTGGGGGTTTCATCTCATTTCTTCTTCAAAACTTGAGGTATGGATTTTTCTTAGAGTTATATATATATATATATTTGCAAGATCTATATGATTTTCAAAATCATCTTTCAATAGTTTTGAAAATTGATTGTTGATTCAAGAAGTTGAGCAATTTTGAAAGTGGGTTTGTCTCTCGTTCTTTTAAAATGATCTTATAGGTTTTGATCTTCGTTGATTGACGAAAAGATGATTTTGAAAAGTTTTTTTTCAAAAGATTTGAGTTGTATAGTTTTGGTAAGAAAACCTAGAATTTGGGGATTTTTTTTAAAGGAGACTGAAAATCCATGATTCATATAGTTATATTTATTTTGTGTGCTAAAATAAATAAATGTTTGGAAAATTTCTTATTTGTATTTATATAAATGATGAATTTTAGGGAATATGAGAATTGTTTTTCATTTTGGAAATTATTGTTCAAAACGTTAAAATAGTCTTGAAATAACTAATTGTCGAGGATACTTGAGAAGAGGGAATTGTGTTATTCCTTGGATGATGAATTGGAATAAAAGTATTTATATTTATCTTGTGAAATTGGCATATCAATTCATTTGATTACATTAAACTTTGAAAGTTGATTTGAAAACTTGCATTGAGAAACAAGTTTTCATGGAATGGTTTTGGAGTAAATACGTTGGTAAGTCTTGATAGATAGTGTAGATGATATTGAATAAGTTGGCCTGAGAGTCTGGGGTGAAAGACCGAAAATCCGCATGGATAGGTATCGACCCTTCCGGTTAATACCGATAAAAATGATAATTTAGTAGTACTTGTATAGTCTACTTGCAGACACCGACCTAGGGATTACCAGAGTCGTATTTACCGCCCTTGAAATAAATTGTTAAGTTTTGAACAATTGAAATTGGATGATATCATTGAGCATGATGGTTTTCAAAAGATGAAAATGTGATTTATCTTCAAAAAGGGCGTAGCATGGCATGTGCATTTCATCTCTTGAGACTTGTATAAAATGTATATACTTTGTTAAGAATTTTCTACTGGGCTTTATATTCACCCTACGGGATTTTTGTGCAGGAAAAGATGTGGTGATCCCACCCAACTAAGGGCGTGGAAGTATGTGTATTGGGAGTACAATGCTCTCATTTTGCTATGACTTTGTGTGTAAGCCAAGGGTTGTGTTTGTGTGGGTTTGAATAACCGTTTTGTGTAACCAGGCTCAAGCCTTGGAAACTTGTATACGCTTGGGGGTATTTCTTTGTTTATTTACTTATTATTGGATTAATGTATTGTTGCATGAAGAACTATTGTATCATGTAATATAAGTTTGAAGATTTATATTCGATTTTCCTTGAAAGAGCCATGATTGTTGTCTTATCATTTGGGCTAGAAATTTGAGGCATTACAAAAGCAAACCCTAGAGGTAGAGTGAAATAGGAAAGTATAGAAAGAGAGACAAAAAAACTAGAGCCGAGAGAGAGAGAGAGAGAGAGAGAGAGAGAGATAAAGGGAGTAAGAGAAATGGAGAGAAGAAAAGAAAAACCTCAATGTTGAAGCGATGCAGTGCGAGGCAAAGCGATGAGCTGTAGGCGAGTGATGGCGGTGGCGGTGGCGGTGGTGGTGTGAGACAGTGGAAGATCAACTGTGAATGATAGTGGAAGATCAACGGTGAGTGATGGGGGGTAAAGTAATGGTGAATCGTCCGTGAGAGAGAGGGAGAGCGAGAGTCAAGAGTCTTGTTTTTGTTTGGGTAGATTGATAAAAACAAATATGAAAAAAGTAATAGAATAAATGAATTGCCTCCAAATCTAAAAAACTTCCCCACCAAAAAATTTGTTATCAATGTCCACCAAACAAAATTTAAGTCGCCTATTGTAGCACTTTTGGTGACTAAAGGTATTTTGGTCACTGAAAAGAAATATTCACCGACCAAATTTTCACCAAAGACGAAAGTAAAATTTATGTTTTTTATTTAGCAACTAAATTATTTTAGTAGGAAAAAATTACTTTACAACATCTAAAAAAATTTTAGTCACCGAAAATGAATATTTGGTGACCAAAACTTTGGCAGTCAAAGTTTGATAGCAAACATTATGCTAGGGTTTTGGCGACTAAATTTATTTTAGTAGGCAAAAACTGGTGTACCACGACTAACAAAAATTTTAGTAGCCTAAAACATGATCTAATGCCAACTAAAACAATTTTTGGTCGCCTATTGTGGCATATTTAGCCACTAATTTTTTTTAGTCGCCAATAATTAAGATACAGTTACTAAAAAAAATTAGTAGCTAAAAACTATATTCAACGCTGACCAATGTAATTTTTAGTCTCCTATTCTATAACTTTTAATGACTAAAAAAAAGTTTAGTCACTAAATTTATTCACCAAAAGTGTAAATTGTTGTTAAAAAAATAAAAAAATAAAAAAAAAAACATATGAACATAGCTGGATTGATGGAGATTATGGTTTTGAGTCTCGACGATTGTTGGAGGCTATGAGGAAGCCTATAAATAGTTGAAGTATTGTAAATAAAAACAAACAATTATGCAGCGGATAAAATAATCATATCATACCTTTCGATGATAGAACCTCGTGGATAAATCACGTGCTTCCAGAGTCTGATAAATCAATCCCAGCAGTGGGGTGATATTACAATGGTGAATATCACCCACACAAACCACAGTGCAATTGACTTGATCGTTGTTTCTTGGGAGAGAGTCAGTTTATGGGTAGAAAACAAAACCTACGTTGTTTTCTCTCTTGGTTACCCATAACCATATATCACATATATATTATATTTATCTCATTTATCCATTGGTTAAATGAGATAATATCTGATATCTATATCATCTATCCATATCATGATATGATAGATATATATCCTGAGTGGCTCATCCAAATAGGTTTGAATTTAAATTCAAAACCCATTTGGATGAGGTTCAAAAGGTTCTAAGGGTCATGCCACATGGACGCCCAATTTCTAACAAGTATAGAATAGACAAGATCCCTCGAATAAATCCATACATTTTGCTAATTCCTTGCTTTTCCTTTCCAATTTGCTTTCTGTTTTTATTAAGAGTAATTCAACTTAGAAACGTTGTAATTCACTTCAATTGTTCACTCTCGAAGTTACCAGAGTAACAAAGTAACAAAAACGTAGTTGATTTATTCCATTAATTAATTATATTATATTTTTGTCCCAATTTCTCCCTCTCATTCTATTTTACAATATTATGATTAGATTCTCTCAATTGCTCAATGGTTCTCACTTTAACGCAAGTATTTAAGTTCTCCTTATTAAGGTAAAAGAACTTTTACATATTCCCTTGATAAGTATTTTTGCTTATTTAATATCTATAAGAATTATTAATCTTTACTAGAATGCTCAAATTTAGATTTTTAACCTTTGAATTGCCAAAAAATCAGCACATCTTAATGATAATTGATTGAGATTAAATTTATAAGATTACGTAAAAATTATCATTATTATTTTTGTTAATGGCGACAAAATAATATTTCATTATCCATGGAATTGTTGTTGGATTAGTAATTCTAACTGCTTATGGAAGTGTTAATCACACATTTTTTAAAGATTCAGTCCTATACTATTGTTAACTTTATTTTATTGAGATAATTGTTAAAAAGTCCAAGCCAAAGAGGGTATAATGGATTAGATCCAGTGAATATTTTTTGTTGGTATGAAGTCGACCATTTGTAAAATAGTTTAGTGAAAAGTCTTTTTGTTTGTTGTGAAAAAAAATTTGTTTCTAATATTATCCCTTAATTTATTTATTGACTTTTTTTATCTGTTGACTTTTGTTGAATATTTGTTTAGATTTTTTGCCTATATGTTAAATTTTTTTTCCTATCTATTCAATTTTTTTTCCTATCTGTTCAATTTTTTTCTTATCTATTCAATTTTTTTACCCTATCTATTTAATTGTTTAATCTTTTCAATTCGAATTTCCCTTATCTATTTAGCTAGTTGTCTAAATAAAATTCTATCTGTCCAAATTTATTATTTGTTCAAATTTTTTGACTATCTATTTATTTTTTTCCTTTATTTGTTCAAATATCTAACCAAATTTGTTTATCTATTAGAATTTGTTTCATCATCATCATCATTAACAACAACAACAACAATCAACTAAAAAAAATAAAAATCTGATATGAGATCTCTACAAATCTGAATACTAAAAACACATCAAATGTATCTAGATCTAGATTGAACAATTTCAAATCCAAAGAACCCAAAAAAAAAAAATTAAACAGATCAAATGTATATATATACAATGTAATATATAGTGTCCGAAGATCAGTACGTTCTCAGCAAATCCTAGAAAACAAAAGGACTGAAGCAAACCTGGATTCTCCTCAAACCTCAACTCGACATTATTGACTAGATCTGCGAATAAAACAACAATAAGACCCTAACAACATAGATGAACTATTATTTACAAAAATAAAATAAAATTTGATACGCAACGCAAGCAACTTACAATTTTTTTATTACTTAATTTAAAGTGCTCTCAAGTAGCAAACTAGTAGTCGATTTTTATTACTAAAATTTTTTTAAATAAATTATTTCATAAAACCTATAATAAATAAATAAAAAGTAGAGATTCCCCTACAGTAAGAAGGCACGCCTGAACTTTGTTGGCCTAATAGCTAGAATTACCTCAAACCAAAACACCAGGCGAAGAAAAAACTATTTGTTTCAGATCTCAAATCGGAGCATTATGTCTCCAAGAACGGATGAGTTCAATGGGAGAGGGAGATTGGTGGTGCAGTGGATGTGAAGGCAGTGGGAGAGATCGACTGAGAACGATTATGAGGGATTGAGTTTGGCATCGGTGAGAGAAATGATAGATCCAGAGCAACGTTGATATTATGTCTCCAAGAATGGTAGATGGTGAAGACAGTGGTGGTGATATGGTAGGTGTGAAGGTGGTGGAGGAGATAGATTGAGATCAGTTGAAGGAATGAGTTCGACGCCGGTGAGAGAAACGGTAAGAAAGATAGAGAGAGAGAGCGCGCGATGGTGGTGGCAATGGCGGTGGTGGCGTACCCCATCAGGGAGGTTCAAATCAAAGAGAGACAGATTATTCAAAAACAAAAACAAAAAAGAGAAAAGAGTTTGAGGGAAGACCCATGTGTATATACGGATGGGTATTTTGGTCATTTTACGTTTGAGGGAAGACCCATGTGTATATACGGATGGGTATTTTGGTCATTTTACCTCCGCATATCCTTATAGATAAGGTATTGAGTGATTTTCCTTGCATCACTCGTTTACCTTTTACACCCGTTTACCTTTTACACCTTCTATATGAGATTATTTTTTTTTTAATTTTACCCATATATGAAATTATCTCCAAGGACCAAAGACTAAAATTAAATATATTTTATTATCTTCTTACACCCATTACTCTTGAATCCCTACTTCTCTTCGTTCCTTTTTAGTTTTTCTTCTTTGTTGCACATCTCTTTTCAAAAAGTGAGAATCATAATATTTTGATCATAGAAGAAAGCAATGGATGAAGAAACGGCATTGAAGAACCTTCAAAAAAGTGAAATGCTAAGTTTTTTTTTTATTTGTTTGGTAGGTTTTTGTTTCATTTTTGAGAGAGTTCTTTGATTTTATGTGTCAAAATTGAATAAAATAAAATAGTTCGGAATCACGTTGTCGGACAAAAAAATATGTTGGGTAACCCATTGCCGAATAAAAGATACATTTCCAGTAACCCAAGGTTGAACGTTTTTAATTTGTTTGGTTACTCATTGCCGTGCATTTCTAGTTTCATTTTTTTATATTTTTAATTTTATTGCTTGGAAGGATTATGCTTATACCCATTGCAGCAATGCAAGTACTGCATTTTTAGTGGACTACAGTTATGAATTCATTACAGACGAGGTTTTTTAACTTTTTTTTACGAATATGATTTATTGTTATTTTTAAATTGTATTGAGTTTTATTAATAACTTTGACATATAAATGTATTTATTATATTTAGATTTTTAGTAGTCGACAAGTATTAATTGAATGGGCCTTTGATGTTGGGAAGAAGATTGGATTTGTCATTGTCATAAAGACATCAGATGTGGGAGATAATGATAAAAAACCAAAACTTACACTTACTTGTGAGAGAGTTGGTTACTATAGTGAAAACAGGAAGATCAAGGAGGAACAATTGAGGCTGACAGGTTCTAAAAAGTGTGGATGCCTATTTCCATTAAGGGAGAAAAATTACCCACAAATGATGAGTGGATGTTGCATGTCTTATGCGGAGTGCACAAACATCCGGTTGCTGAACATCTAGAAGGGCACTCATTTGCTGATAGATTATCTGAGGAGAAAATATCCTTATTTGTGGACATGTCAAAGAGTATAGTGCAACCAAAAAAGATATTGATTACATTGAAACGAAGGGATGCCTTTAATAAGACAACAATGAAGACAATCTACAATGGACGTAAAGCAACAGGTGGTTGGATAAATTTATTTTAGTTTGACAACATGACACTGGAGTAATCTGTAAACATACAGCGACCAGTTATTGAACAAATTTATTTTAGTTCGGCAACATGACACTAGAGTAACCAACTTTGTATAGCAATGTATCACCGAACAAAAACTTCACAAATGGGCTCCAACTAATTTCTTAAGTAAAGTAAAATTATCCAATCAAACGACAACATGATGGCTGAAAAAAACTAGTTTGTCCAGTAATACGGCATTGGACTAACTCAAATTCTTTTGCATTATATTACCGAAAGTTATTGGTGTAAAGAGACAAAACTAAAAGGGTTTTGAAGAACTTTTAGTTGGGTTAGTTTTGATAGTATAATGGGTGTAATGAGAATCATATATATATTTTTTTAGTGGTGTAATGAGATAGAGGGTGTAAAGATGTAAACTAATGGTGTAAATAGAATCATTCTAAAATATTTTAGAGTGTGGCTTTCGGACAAACAAAATTCAATTTTGAATTTATGAACCGAGTACCCAATTTTATTTTATCATAAGTAAAGTTATGTTGGTAAAGTTTATTGATTATTAATCCAATCTCATTTAAATAAACATGAGCAATACGATACTGCACAAAGTTTGATTATGAATGTAAATATAAAAATAAATAACATTTTGAGTTTATTTTGAATTTAAATTTAAACTAAAGAGAATTGGGCCTTACAATGAGTTATGTTTTGATGATCAAAATCGTTAATTTTGTAGAACTATCAACATATGTCATTTATGAAAAAATTAGATTAATTTGATAATCGTAATATTTTTTTTTATCTTGTTTGTCTTCCATAAAACGAACAACAAGTGTGGCACTTCATACTTCTTGGATTAATGGGATTGCTTTAAACACTTTTATTTTTGTACTTGGACCCTCTTGGGTTCATTTTTGGATATTGATTGAGGTGGTATCAAAATGATTAAATAGTATTGAACCAAACATTTTGATTCAAATAATTGTCTTACGAATAGTCATCACTCTTTTGCCCTTTTCTTTTTCCAAACTTTGAATTTGGATGTGAGGCTGGAACCATTGGAAAGCTTGTTTCCGGGGCTTCGATTTGGACATAAGAACAACCTAAAATAGAGTCCAAACGAGAGAGTTATGCCTGTTTGAACTTTGTGTATCTGTATTGGAAGTAAGATCACTCGAGTGAAGAAAGTTGCGCTCGAGCAAACTGTGCGAATTTCAAAGATTCTAGGAGCTTGTTTTCTTCACTTGAGCCAAGCTTTCCTTGCTCGAGCGAACTGTCCGAACTTAGCATGTTTAAAAGTAACTTTTTGGTCAACTTTTCTTCATTCTCTCTTACTCTTTCTCTCTCTTCTTCCATTTTTCTTCCATTGTTGAGTGTTTCAAGCTTTTAAGCTTCGTTTTCATCTATTTTCCTTCATTTTCTACCCCATGTTCCTTACATAAAAACGAAGAGCACACCAAGGGCTTTCTATCTATCCAAGTGGATCATGTTTTCGTTGAAGTCAAAATTTTGGGTTTCTCTCTCTTCTTGCTTAAGGTAGGGATTTTCCTTACTTCTCTTCAATATTATCTTATGGATAGATGGGTGATAATTTCTATTGCATAAAACCCTCATTTTGAGGAGATTTTCAAAATAACATGTACAGGAAGTTAGGGTTTTTAAATTTTGGAAGTTTAATTGATGATTTAAGTAGAATAAGGAATATTTGGGTCATGGGAATAAGATTTTGTGTTGAATAGTAAAAAGCCCTAATTTATGCTTAACCCTAGTTATAGAATTTATTTTGGAAACGAAGAACGTTTAAACTAGCATTAGATTCATGAAATTAAGTTTATGTTTTGTTGAGATGAGTATAAATAATGACAATTAATGGTTGGAAAATGATCATTGTATATAAGGGTTATGTTAAAGAAATTAAGATTGGTAATTCAATCAATTAATCTTGGATAACTTATGATGATTATTGTATTGTGAAATTGAGTATGAAGACTTGATAACAATAAGAAAAAGTAAAGACATAATTGGAACACAAGAAGTGTGAATACTTCTAAAGATGAGCCTTTATATTTCTGGTGGATGTGTTGTTAGATTATTTTGTGATAAAAACAATGAATGTTGTTATTGTTTTTTTTGTCAGAACTGTAACAATGAATGACTTGATAAATAATAGAAAATGTGGTGGAACATGATGTGTGTTTGTTATGTGAATGAATCTTTATCATATGGTGGATTAATAATTGAGCTAATATGTAACGGAAATACTAAACAAAGTGTTGGCTTTGCCCACAAATCATAATGGGGAATGCCTTAAGAAATTGATGGATTGGGATGTTGCTTTGGGGTCCATTTCCCACCGTATTTGAGCCGGCAAAGTGTGGCGCTTAATAAAAGTTCTGCCTTCTTCCAGAGTAGCGCCAGGTAAAGCGTGTGGGCTGATAAGACGTGTAAAGGTTCTGCGTTCCTTCTGGCTTGTGATCGGTAAAATGTAAGGTTCTGCATTCCTTCCAGCTTGTTACCGGTAAAGCGTAAGGTTCCACATTCCTTCCGGCTCATGACCAGTAAAGCGTGTGTAGACGCGCCCTCGGGCCCCATGCTACAGTTCGGACTCAATTTGTGTCACGGTTCTTAATCTGAACCAAAAGAGTCCAAATCTGGCAAATCGTTTTGAGAAAAACAGATTTTGAAAGAAGTGCCAAACATGGACTGCTTTGCCAGATACAGAGTCGCCACCTAAATATTTTATTTTGGGAAATTTAGGAAACCCTGACTCGGTGCCAAAAGGCCACGTGTCCGTCATCACCAAAGTTGCCTCGGCTCGGGAACTTGGGTACGATTGGGGAAGGTCACTTCGTGAGCACCCCCGCTCGCCCGGTCATAGACCGGCCTCTACTAACCACGATATCAATTTTTGAAAACATTGTGAGTTCTTATTCCGGTTATTAGCCTAGGTTACTACGTGATGCTCGCAGCATATAAGTATAGACCGGGTCGCCCGAATTGGAACAAAACATTTCATATTATATTGTTTATACAGGGTACAGAATTAACAAGACAGGATGCATAAACAGAACGAATAAACCGAACTAAATAATCCCAAATTCATATGAATATCGTCACAGAATAATGTACATAAATCATCTCATAGTTTATTACAAATGGGCATAATCATCTTACGTCTGTCAGAACATTAACAACACTCCTTGATAGACGTCACAAGTATCATTACAGTACGATCAATAAGAACGGAGTAATTTACCTCATAACAGTCTTGATTCATCATTGACAAAACAGAATGATTCGGAATACATGAGCATCATTGTTTCGCTTGTTCACTAGAAATCAATACAGGTAATGTACAGATAACAGAACGTTAATCATGCCTTTCAACAGTAAGCAATCCCAATTATGTTCATCTATTATAGGCAAACACCTATGTTGTAAGACATGTATTACCCAACAGACTATAGGAATCCCTAATAGGGTACTCGGGATATC